ATTCTGTAAAATTGTCTACATGAAATACATTATCTGTCTATATATTGTAAATGTTGCTAGAGTTGAAGACGTTTTTAAAGAAAATTTTAATGTTCCAATTTTATACTAATTAAGCTACAGTTAATTTATTTTAGCGTTTTATTTAAATGTAAATATATTATCAGAATGAAATTATTGCCACTATTCAAGATTTTATGGCCTCGTTACTTTAACCTTTGTTTAGGATGCATTTTTCTATAACAGTCGCACTGGGAACGGGAGGGTCAGGCAATGACCCCAGCTTAGTTTTTTTAGCATTACGTACTTATTTTTACTTTCTCTTCAAAATCCTTTTAGGACATTTTTTTACGTATTTTTTCAACTCATTGACAAACAGTTTGATGAAATTGGTAAAATATTATACCTTTACCGGACGTTTTTATAACGTCTAGTACGAGCGACATGCGTGCGCCTCCCTAATAATACCGATGTGCTCAGCTTCTGCGACGTTTTACCAGTTTTATTACAGTTGTTGTGCAGTGCAGTGTTGATAAAGATATTTTTTGGATTCTGTTTTATTTATATTTTGATATGAGTAAAAGATATTTGACTGATCCTAAATTGGAAGAAGCTCTTTATGGGGATAAAGATTTTTCGCATAGCGATCTCAAGAAAATCATAGATTCAGATTTGCAAAGCTTAGACGAAGATTCCGAGGTTGATCAAGGTGAACAGTCTGGTAATTTTTTTCAAGAAACAGAAAATAAATCATCTAGTGAGTAACATACCAGTAAATCAATAGCCGGTTTCAAAAAAGCACAAAAGTATATTACGGCAATGTGTCAAATATTTGAAAGTGTTTATATTCTATAAGTTTTTGTATTTTTTAGCTTCAAATGCTCAGTTAGAGCAGGATAAACTTCCCAACGAAATCATGGATCAGGAATCAGCTGAAGAAAGAAGTAGTACAGAGGAAGATACCGAAGAAAATGGTATTCTATTCTAAAAAAATTTCATAGTAGTTTTTATTGTTTTTTTTTTTTTAGATAATATAGCAAGACGTCGTCCACGACCTAAAGCTATAATAAATCAAACCAATTCTGATATGATTTCTGCATCAGGTGTTACTTGGAAACCTAACCCTATTGCTCGACGAAGACAAATTGCTGCCAATATAATGAACCCCAGATCTAAAAAAGGGAATAAATCCTAAAACGCCACTTGAAGCATTCCGACTCTTTTTTGATGACGACACCATTGATTTTATTTTACAACATACAAACCAGAAACTCGTCCTTGTAAAAGAAAGTACTCCACAATCTTCTTTCATACAAAAATCAAGAAGTTCTGAAAAAAAGAAATATTAGGCTACATAGGATTATTGATAACACCAGGTGCTTATAAGCAAAACAAAGATCCACAGAGATTTATTCAGTAACGAGAATTTGCCAATTTATAAGGCTACGTTTTCACATTACCGTTTCCAACTACTGCGGAAATGGTATAAGGTTCCATGATCAAACTACTCGGGGAATTCGAAAAGAATATGATAACTTTGCTGCAGCAAGAGATATATGGGAGCGTATCACAAGAAAATTTCCAGACTTTTTGGTACCTTCAAAATCAGTTGTAATAGACGAAGAGCTAATAACATTCCATGGCAGATGCAAATTTCGTTTATATATTCCTACAAAACCTGGTAAATATGGAATTGAAGCTAATGTGCTCTGTGACTCAGAAAACTACTACTGTTTGGCTGCAGAACCATGTACAGGAAAAATAATAAACCAGCCCAAAGATTACAAAAGTGGTCCGGAAGTTGTAAAACGTCTTGTAGAATTAGCAAAATTGCAGAACAGTGGTCGCAACATCACAATGGACAGAAAGTTTATGGCAGTCCCAATAGCAAATTCTTTGTTGGAATAAAATCTTACAGTCGTGGGGACGATAATGAGTAACAGAAAAGACGTTCCACCAGAACTAAGACCTCAATCTTTGAAGGCTGCAAGGCCTGGCACTATTCGCTTTGGTTTTCGGGACCGTGAAACACTTGTAAGTAATGTACCAAAAAAGAATAAGGTCGTCACTGTTCTTTCTACGCAACATCATGATATGAACATTCAGAATGATAAACCAGAAATTATTTTATATTATAACTCCACAAAAGCCGGCGTCGATACTCTTGATGAATGTGTAAGAGCATATAGTTGTCGGCGAGGCACAAGAAGATGGCCGATGGCAGTCTTTTTCAATTTGATTGATATAGTTGCCTACAACTCCTACATTCTCTTCATAAAAGCCAACGAAAACTGGCAAAAGAGAATCCGAAACAAAAATCTGGAAGAAAACTTTTTTTTTAATGTTTAGGCAAGGAATTGTGCCAAATTAACATGAGTAATCGTTCAAAATATATGGGACTTCAAAATAAATACATAGCTGCCTTGAAAATGTTTGGGTTTGAATGTCAACAGGACCAGCCTACGACAAGAGGTGTTGTTCATCGTGAGCCACTCGGACCAGCTACTCGGTCCACTGTGCCAAAAAATCCCAAAAAAGGAAGGTGTTTTATTTGTGCAAGGTCGGCTGATAGAAAATATATGAAGGCATGTTCTAATTGCGAAAAGTATATTTGCCCTAGGCTTACGGCCAGCGAACAAATTATTACAATTAGAATATGTACAAACTGTAATAATGTTTAATAATGTTATTCTATTTAAACACCGTTTCATTAAAATTTTTAATAAAATGAGTTTTTATTAAAATTGATTTTAACCAAGACCCTTGACTTTTGGACATTTTTTTACATAAGCTCCTACTTGACTTAAACAAAATCTGGGGTCAGGCGCTAGCCCTCCTGTTCCGAATTCAAGAAAATCTGGGGTCAGTCGCTAACCCCCCTGTTCCATTTTCTCCGAGTACCCAGTTAGGGTCCCAGTGCGACTGTTAAATTTATCCATGACAAAGTATTTACAAAAGAATCCTTCGGATTCTAAAAAAAAATCTATTTCATACGCCCACAGAGACCAAAACTTTCAAAAGTTCGTAGATACTGGCATTAAACAAAGCCTATACTAAAGGAAACCCGTTAGTTATCTACATTTGTTTATCTAAGATTATAAATAAAATAACTGTCAGTGGGAAGGGTTGGTAGTTGGAATATCTTTGGGGTTACGACATTTAATGATATTCTATCTACAATAGGTGAAATCATGAATAATGGATTCAATTTAAATATTTTATTTCTAACACAATAAAAATAATATTTTTTAAAAAATTGCTTATGCATTTTTCATTAATTGGTAGGCTAAGTGAGTACTATTTAGATCAAAAGTAGCGTCTAAGAGGGAAGACAATGTCGCAACCACCTTAGATATGCGAGCCATTTCCACTGGCAGCTACTGTTTAAAAAGTCGTTGGAATGCGTAATTAACGCACTTATGCGCCGATGTTACCACTTTCCGCTCTAAATAAATAGCTATTGTTCTTTGTCCTTGGTAAGAGACTTGTTACATATTTGAATTAAAGTAGTAGTCCGTTCTGAAGTGTCATTGTCAACAAAGAATACAGAGTTCAATAAATATTAAATCATCTAGTCACTGCATGGGATAGATTTTTAATAATTCCTTAAAGTAATTTTTGTGTTCTACAGTAAAGAGGTTGAAGAAGGGGTATTGCCACCTGTCAACCTTTAAAATACTTAATCATTTGTGCTTTAGTTATTGTTGATACTCCATCAATCAAAAAACTACTGATAAAGATACCAAAGGTGCCTGGCTAAAGTGACACGAGTTTGTAGTATTTCCGTAGCTTTGATGTAAGGTTTTCTAGTGAACTTATTATTTTACTGAAAACCAACGGGGCCCTATTACTAAGCCTCCGCTGTCCGTCTGTCTGTCAGCGGGCTGTATCTCATGATCCGTAATAGGTAGACAGTTGAAAGTTTTACAGAATGTGTATTTCCGTTGCCGCTATAACAACAAAGGATAAAAATAATAATAAATTAAAAATTAAAGGGGCTTGCCCCTACTATAAACGTCATTTTTTAGCTTTTTTGCTTGATCTTAATAATGTATTTAAAAAGTACCTACATAGTATTAATTCGTACGATGATGCGGTACCCTCCACGTCCTATTCCGACTTGCACTTGGCCGGTTTTTGTTTCTCTTTAAACTTTATTAAAAACATTGTAGTAGCGATATTTGTTCATTATAACGTTAATTAACTACTTTATTAATTAGATTATATTACAGATTTTTGTTGTATTCTATTTTTGTTGTACTATAGACACATATAGGGTAAAGGCGGGTAAGAGTACGCAGTTTTTCGTAGAAGATTTATTTTCGACAAAATATCAAAACAGAAATCAATTTAAAATAATCGGGATAAAGTACTTCACTATTTCATAGGAAAAAAAATATTGTTAACTGAAGTATATATATAAAAAAAATAAAGTTTAACTCTTTGTTTTTTAAAAATGCGTATATGGTCTTCTAGGAGTGCGCACCCTATCTCAATCTACCAATCCAGAGTACATTGGGCAGTCTTCATGGAACCAGTTTTTTGCATGCCATGCACTTTCTTAACCTATATTTTCATGCTTTCTTTCTTCCCTCTCTTTGTCTTTCATTATTTATCTTATGTATCTATGGATCTTGTCATAGTTTTCCTTACACTTCATCGTCTCTCGTACCATGTTTTCCTCGTTTATCTCTTCGCCGATTTGCACAACCAGTTCGTTTCTTGTCTGCGCCCATCTAACATATATATACAGTGTATATGAGATTTCTATATCTCCACAGTATATACATTCGTCGTCGTCTGTTTTTCCTATCCGGTGGGTAAAGGCTCTGAAGAATCCATGTCAGCTTAGGGCTTGCGTGAGGTACTAGTCTGTTTTACGAAATTTTGGTCCACCGTGCCACGTTTTTCGTCATTACCCATTTACTTTGCTATCTGTTCGATATTTTCCTCTTTTTTTTTGCGGGGTTCTTTGTTCCATCTTCTCTTTGGTGCAAACGCCTTCATTCGTCTATTTTGATGGTAATTTTGTTTTCTTCGGCTGCGGACTCTTTAGTTCGTCTATATATCTCCGTTTTGACTTTTTGCATTTTTAAGTTTTGGCTTGCTTGTCTGCTTGTAACTCCTTCAACTGTATTTTTGTACGATGACGCAGTTAGCAGTACATACTTCTTCTTAGGAACATTTTCTAATCTTGGTGGTGCCTTTGGTAGTGGTTTATTATTTTCGGCGAGATAAAGTTGGTAGGCATTTTTGACGGCGTCAAAGATGGTGAAGTTCGTTGCCTTGGCGGTGGTGATGGTGCTCACGTAGAAGATGTTGAGGGTATTGCCTTTGACTAATTTCGGTCCTTATCAACTTCACTTAGGATAGGCAATGTTAGTTTCAATTACTGCTGAGGAATTGACAAGGGTATATCATCATTAAGATCGGATTTATCTTCTATGTTTTAATAATAATTTCTTTGCTAGGAATTTCGTTTGGATCTGTCACTGTGGCGGGTGCAAATTCTTCTTCTAAAAACACATGCGCATTGTATGGAAAAATACGGCATATTTGAAAAGCTTTTTCCCGCTTTTTCAATTGAGACTATTCTAGCATATGATCTAGCAAACAATTCAGCTACTTAAAACTAACTGATTGGTCAGTCGGGGTTACTGATATGTCACTTGTCACATTCTTAAGCATACGCACTTTTCAGTGGGCCAAAATAATTCTTATCCAATAGCTGGATCTTATGGCTACTAGGCAGAGGTAAACTAAGCATGTTAATACCCAGTTCGCCGGTAAGTAATACAGGGTCTTCAAGTGAGCTTCTGCAAAATTCTTGAAAATGATCTAGCCATTTTAGAAAGAGGTCTTTATTGATGACACCTGAGTCTGAGACAAGCTAAAGTGTTCCTGCTGGAGCTTTATCAGTTAGCTTAGGTTTCATTGGTTTGCGTGAAAACAAAAGTGTGGGTGGAATGTATTGTCCAGTTGCTCTCATACAGCATACCGCAGTTATTAACTGGTCCCTCTCAGATGAAACAGTTTTGGCCACGCATTGTTTCCCTTTGGGGGCAACAACCTTAGGTAATTTGTTTGCTATGGTTAGGATACCAGACTCATCCATACTAAACAAAGGGTGTGGAAATATTTGTTTGTCATTAAAAACTTGCGCGAGGTTTTTAAAAAATAGCTCCACTTAAGGCTTATTAAAGCCAGCAGCTCAAGTCAGGGTTGTTTTTTCTGAATAGCGTAGACTCAGCTTCTGACGCTTGCAAAAAGAGTACACCCAATCTTTTTCGGCTGATTTTTGGTCTTTGTTAAATCTCTGCTCCAACTTGTTTCTCTCGGCATATTCAAAAGCAAGGTTAATAAGTACCTTAAATGTGAGTCCATAGAATGTTTTATCCAGCTAGTTTCTTCTCTATTTCTAGTGTAAAAACTATTTTAAACCGACCGAGTGGTGTTGACACCGTTGCAGCTTTTAATCGTTGTCTTAAAGTTGCTTTAGGTACTCCAATTGACGTAGCTATTGATCTTTTACTTTTTTCTTGGAACACTTTTTGCTTTATTTCCTCCATTAACTCTGCCGTAAATATTAACTTTCTCTTGGTCTTGTGTCAATACTTCCCTATTTTAATCTAAAATAACAAAACGTATTCTAAAACTACAGCGACGAGAATCGAACAGACAAAGAGTACGGATATCAAGCTAAGAGTACGCATGCGTACTCTTAACATTCTAGCACAGAATAAATGTATTATCCGGTGCATGGTTTTGTTTAAACATAACCTTTACACTGAACTAGTCAATCAAACCCTCAAAAGAATTAGGTTTTAATGATACTTACAGTTCATCAAATTTCTAGAGGTGTTCGACGCCCAGACAGAGAACGCGCTACGTGTGACTAAGATAGCTATTGTACAGTCTGCTAAACAAGTTATTTTAAATAGGTAGTTTTTAATATTTTTTAGGTAATTAAATTTTAAAAGTGTGGAATAGTTTAGGGATTAAATTGGTCTGATTGGACTTTCTTAAAACGTTTTTAAAAGCAGCTAAAGATAGTATGTAGAATTGAAAATAATTATTATGCCATAAAAGGTGTTTTGGAATTCCTTCAACCTTTTGAAATTGAGTCAGAAAATATAAATTTTATAGGATAGCAGAAAATACCTATAATTTTTTTGTAGGCCTTTGTAAATCGTGGAAATAGTTTATATTTTATTTCTACGTTATTAAGGAAAATGGTACCTATTATTAATAACGGTTGTTTCTAAAACATTACTAAAATTTTCGAAATTTTGTTTTTCTACAAAATAATAAACTATTCTATTTAGAAAAAAAATTATTTCTCTTATAATTTTATAAAAAACAACAGGGGAATATTTACATTTCTTGATCTATTAAACAAAACGATAAATTATCTCGACGAATATGACACCATGTTCTAGTACGGAAGCTAGCTTTACATTTTTGTTGGTGGTTTCATGGGTTTCATATCAATTTTTTGTAATTGTAGTTTACACGTACATATACCTCTTAACACATGTTTGCTTTATTAAAAAAGTGTGTTGTGATTTACGTCGAAATAAGTCAAAAACAACTTGAAACCCCATATAAAATCAAAAAGAAGAAACGGAAAAAAATTGAGCCTGTAAATGAACACAACTCAGAAACAAAAATAGCTATCTAATAATAAAAAAATAAAATTTGATTCTTGTGCAGCTTCATCTATATCATTAACTGTTTTTGGTTTTTTAATGGTTTTTCTTGGTGATGAAAATTCCGATATCTCACGGTTATCGATTCTTTTTTTCTCTCCAGAAATGCGAACGACAGTGTTTTTAGATACTCCTGTGGCTGCAGCAACACGATCATTTACATTTTTAAATGGTATTGAAGATGAATTAAAGTTTCCTTCTCTTCTCATAAACTCTATAACATTGGTTATTATTTCGCGAGATTGACTGTTAATCACGCGGCCTCTTAATTTGCTATTAAACTCCATACTTAGGTTTTATTAAACTATAATGAGCAAAAAACACAAACGAAAATAAAAGAAATGTTTTAGCGAAATTTACATCTGACATTTACGTCTGAATGAAATAGTGAAATACTTGATGCGCAGAGTGTACTTTCATTGCGTAAATCCGTCGGGATGCCTGTCAGTAGTGCTTTCTCTGTCTAGCCGTCGAAAGCCTCTAGAAATTTGATGAATTGTAATGACAATTTTTTGTTTTTGGAACAATATCTGCGTGTTACGCCTCTAAATAATATTTGCTCTGAAAGTAGGCAACTAAACTGACACACAACTGGGTCTACGTCGCCATCTGTAAGTGGGTGGCTAAACTAAGGGCAGTGCGTACTCTTGGACCACGCATACTCTTACCCGCTTTACTTTAATTAGACTCATGCAAATTAGTTAGTAAGATTTATGCATCACATCTCGAATACTGGTCATAGTTGTGCCCATTAACATTATTGTTCAGGAAATTGACAATTAAAAATACTTAAAAATCTAAAAATACTAAAAGCCCATTCTCCATAGGTTTTATGTTGGGTACTAATACACTGCGACCTGAAGGATCTATTGTGTCATTAAGGAAATGTATGATTCGGAGTAGCTCCAGGTTGGGTAGATTTCCCTCTAAGTATAGTGCTCTTGGATTATGAAGTGCTAAATATTCGGTCAGAATGTGAATGGAGGTTTTCTTCACCTCTTCACGGATTCTTCACTTACTATTTTTTTGGCCCAGTTTACTAAGGTGTTCCCCGCACGTATCTCTATTACAATGCGTAGACTGTTCTTGCTCAGATAGATAAAGAATATCGATCTTTTCTGGCTATAGTCACCTAGATTTATCTTAGCCTGTCTAAGCCCCAATAAATCTTTCCAATTATCGGTTTTTTACTCTTCAATTCTTTTTTAATCTCTTCTGATATTGCATTACTACTGATAGTGCAAAACAGCTCAGCACACACAGAAGGTGTCCGCGCTCTTTTTCTTGCGAGACTATATCTACAATATAAATACCAGTTTTCAAGTGAAGTTCAGACTATTTTTGAGCTGATTACGTAAGAGCTCAGCACATTGATGGCTGCTTGACTATCAAACACGATCGTATTTACTGTGAAAGCTAAACGGCTAAATTGTCTGAAAGTGATGATGCACCCTTAATTGCCTCTGATCAAACATGAGGAACAATCAATCTAAACCAAGATCTCGAAGAAGTTTTTAAAATAACATATATTTATGATGGTGTTGTACATGGGTTTTATGAGGCTGGTAAAGCTTTAGACGCAAGACAAGCTGTAACATGTGTACTCGTCAAAAATTGCAATGAGTCTATGTACAAAAAATGAATGTCTGCCTTTGATTCTGAGCGTCAAATTTCACTCTATAAAGTTCTTAATCACAAAAGAACTAGGAAAATGATCAGGATTGTGCAAAATTAATAATACTGGCAAAGCAAAAACAGTTGTAGGATGTTCTTGTGTTGTAATTAGGGATTATGAAGAGGAACTACCAGCTCTAGATATCATTAGAGACCAGCTTAAGAATACTAAGTAATGCAATAGCTTCTTTAGATGTTGAACTGAACTTGTGTGCATTTCTGCTTGAAAGATACTTGGGTATTTATCCAAAATTTCAGTTAAACTGGTTCTAACTGGTTCTAGGTTCATACACTCCCAGTTCCCTGTTCTCCATCAGCAGACTGCCTGGTTCTTTTCAAATAAGTAATTTGAAAAAAATTATGAATTTATATTAGGGCTTTCTTCGACTTTAAAAGTTGTTAATATTTAACACTAATTGAAAATTGTTCTTCAATTGTTGGTCAATATAGGAAGGTATAGTTGCGATCAAACATAATTTTTCTGTTTTCATTATTAAATATTATTATTTTTAATTTATTGTTATGTAATTTTGAAAAGACTACTTTATCTTTATTTTGTTGGTTATTTACTACCCATGCTAACTTGATACTAGAAATAATTTCATAACTAGAACAATTTATTTTATATTCTCTTACACTTATGTTTTTTTTTAAATTGGCACTATCACGTAGGCAACCAGAATTACGTCAGTTGGTTTCTTTTCTATTTAAAACTTTTTTTTTATTTTTTTTATGTTATGTAATGATACTCATTGAATCAAAATTATTTTATAATAATCTTTAAACAAAATTTTTGAATTGATTAATTATTTGTAAATTTATGTACTACTATCAATGTGTAACTTCAGAATTTAAATGCTATTAAATGCAGAAAACTATTATTTTTCAATGGTCTATAAAATGTTTTTTTTTTACTTTGAGGTGGCAGCTTTGAATTAAAAATGCATTTTATTTTCTAGATGATAACGATTAAACTTAACGTGTTAATTATTATAAACACTTATTCTGGCACATTATTGGACTAATAAGTCAAATCTTTAACAGGTACGTAATCATTTGTGGTATTAATAACAGGATTCTACAGGATTTAGTGTTGTTTGTATCCAGATGGACAAAATAAAACCATGTTAAGATTCTATTGAGACTAGTCTTGATCTTCTAGTTCTGTATTTTGATTTATATTCAGCATACATTACTTTCTCTCCTCTTAAGATAGTCACAAACTAACTTTTAACATCAAATTAAAGTCACTGAATTTTGAGTATCAAAATTGTAGAAACGTAAAAATGATCTGTGACCGAGAGTATATACAACTACATATCCGTCAATAATCAACATATTTTTAATGATTAGTTTCGATGTGTTGTTGAAGATGGAAAAACAAGAAACTTAATTTCTTAGAATAGCCGTTACAAGAAACAACAACTGAAGAAAGCTTTTAAAAGAGAAATTAAACGTTGGTTGGTAAAATTGCATTACTATAAAAGCAGTGAAACAGAAAGTTTTGCAGTTCTTTTCGAATTAGTACTAGTTTTCGATGTTTTCTTAGAAATCAATTTTTAATGTGATCCAATTTCTATAAAACGTAGTTAAAAATTGAATAAAATCACTTTATTTACTACTACATAATTAATCCTAGGGAAGCGTAGAAGGGCCACAAAATATTTTGTTAATATTCTTTTTACTTTTAACTCTGGAAGTCCTTCAAAGATTTTTAAAATCGGCAAGTTACTTACTGGACAAAAACAATATTTTGTTTAATTTATATAAAAAAAATTATAATCAGATACCACTCACGACTTCTAAATGAAAATGTGATAAATAAGAAGAAAATAGACTGACTAGACCTAATTCATGCTCATACTTTATAAACCTGAACCATTATCTGATGAGGCAGTCCACTGGCCTTTGTAGATAATATTATGAGGGTCTTCCAGACTCCTGTGCCATCCCCCTCCACCATAACCACCACCACCACCATGGCTGTGTCCTGAATCGGCATACACTATATGTTTTTCTTCTCCGCCTCCTCCGCCCTTCTCCTGCATTTTCTTTATCAACATGATCAAGGACAGCAATAGAGATATTTTGGCTATCATCATCGCTGAACCTGCCATCATGGCCATCTTGCCCATCACCATGTTAACCATCATAACGCCCATGCCGCACATGGCCATCATCGCCATATTGCCTCCTTTCTTGCCTCCGCCTCCACCGCCTCCTTTCCTTGCTAAAAATAAAACAAAAAAGTCATTGGAGTTAAAATATTTCGAACTGTTTAAAAGTTTTGGGCCAATCATTGCTTGAGGATAATAAACTTAGTAATAAAAAAAATAATAATTTATTATGATTTTAGGATTATACTCTAGAAAGATTGATAAATAGGTATATCAGGGATAAGATATTAAAAATAAATCCGCTCCATCCCAACCAATATGCATACCAGCCAGGAAAGTCAACTGACCTAGCGCTGGACGATCTAAGCAGACTGCTTCCAATAGATGACAAAAAACTCGCAATAGCCACTTTCTTAGATATCGAAGGAGCTTTTAACAATGCCTCAATCAGGTCAATATCCAAGGCTCTAGAAGAGAGAAACGTCCCAGTTACAATATGCCAATGGACCACTGCCTGTCTAGAGAACAGGATTATTTATATTATCTCCAATGCTGTGGTTAGTTCTTGTGGACGACTTATTCAAAATATTGTCCAAAGAAGGCTACCAGTGCCTAAGATACGCAAACGACCTAGCAATTATCGTCAGAGGGCGATTTGTAGGCACAGTCTCGAAGCGATCTCAAACAGCTCTAAACATAGTGAACAACTGGTGCAAAAGGGAACAATGGTCCATTAACGCACAAAAAAACAACAATTTTACCATTCACAAAAAAACGTGTACTTACAGGACTAAGACCATTAGTACTAAACAACATAGTTATCCTATTCATCACAGAAGCCAAATACCTCGGAGTCATATTTGACCAAAGACTAACGTGGAATCAAAATCTGAAAAAACTCACATACAAAGCTATAATAGCTCTCGTACGTTGTAAAAGAATATGTTGGAAAAACTGTTACAAAATGACCATATGGTTATACAGAAGGGTAATAAGACCCATGATAACCTATGGCGCAGTAGCATATGTAACCAAAACTGCGCAGGCCAACTCACTAGCATTCAGCGGCTTGCCTGTCTAAGTACTACTGGGGCCATGCGCACTACGCCGACTGCAGCAATGGAGGTATTATTAAATCTAACGCCACTGCACATCTTCATACAAGGAGAAACCAGGTCAGCTGTTCACAGGCTAATGCAGGGACAAAACCCAACAAGCATTTTACATAGCGCCGACCACACAAGGCTATATCACGAAGTAAAAAGGGATAATATTCTAGCTATGCCTACTGATAGAGCCATAACCACATACAAATTTAAAAGAAATGTTCAAATACAAATACCAGCCTGAGAATCTTGGAAACAGGGACCTCCTGTACAGGCTGAACTCGTCTTGTACACAGACGGTTCAAAAACCAAGGAAGGAGCCGGTGGTGGAATCTATGGACCCAAGTCGAAAACAACGACTTCGCTGAGTTTAGGAAAAAATGCAACACTGTTCCAGGCTAAGCTAATGGCCATACAACACTTTGCAAGAGAAATATGAAATCAGCAAGTATTAGGCAAAACGATTGTCATATACTCTGATAGCCAAGCAGCTCTAAAGGCAATTCTCTCACCAAAATTCAAATCACGACTGGTGAAAGACTGTCTAAAAGACCTGACAGAGCTAAGTAGTCAAAATAAGGTGACCCTAGCCTGGGTTCCAGGCAATGAGGGATATCAGGGCAACGAAAAAGCCGACGAATTAGCCCGAGAAGGCCCAGATAAGGCTATGACAGGCCCCAAACCCTTCTGTGGAGTTGCTAAGGAATTGCTTAAGGCATCCATTAAAAAATGGATTCAAAAAGAGTCTTAGGAATGGTGGAAAAACTATCCAAGACTGAGACATGCCAAACAGTTAATCAAGGAACCATCAGCCAAGTTAACGAAAGACCTACTGGATCAAAAGCGTCAAACCGTTAGTATAACAGTGGCCTTCTTACTGGATACTGTCGCCTCAAATGGTATATGAGTGTCATCAATTCAGCAGAAGAATCAACTTTGTGCAGGTTCTGTGAAGAAGAGGAAACATAATTCCACGTCCTGTGTCAATGTGAAGGCCTGGCTGGATTAAAGGCTTACATTGGGCGAAGAAAAGCCAAATGCATGCAACTACATGTGGGAGCCACTGTCAAAGCTAGTAAATCTAATAAAAAAGACCAGGCTAGACAACATACTCTAAAACAAACGGAGTCCCACAATATATTTGAAAAGGTCGCGGTGGACAAGGACAAATAACGTCCAACTCCTAATCTAATCTAGGTTTATACTTAAAATGGATAACATTAAACACGCCGCACTAGAGCACTCAGAATGAACACAACTCTATTAATAGCTATTTCTTGCAAACTATAGGTTTGTTCTGGTTTATTTAAAACTCGATGCAAACAGTTTGAGGACCAGTGGAACAGTTCAATTCCAAATTATTCGTCGCATACAACTATTAAACTATCACCTGGTAAACTAGTCCTCTGATAGTTCTCAATGTATTTTTAAAGAACTCAAACAGACCTTATGCATTACAGGACTAAACTGGGTTTATTGATATTTGTAGATTTGTAAATTGCCTGTCTTTTTTGTTTAATACTTTTTCTCTAAGATTAAAATTTGTTAAGATATAGTTAGTCAAATTTTAATTTCATTATTTTCTAAACTATGTTTATTTTAGGACTTGATATTTGAATTATCTTTGATAATGGTTGTTTACTATATCTTTTTTATATAAGATTTTTGTATTTTTATGTATTTATTAAATTTGATTTCCTACAATAACTCTACAAAAGAATTATACATTTTATACATAATATGATAATTTGATGTAAACTTGCTACTAGATAATTTACACTAATGATGGCCAATGTCAAAATAATTTGTTTATGGCTGTCAAATAATTTAAATTATAAAGGATGTAGAAAAAAAAATATTTTTATTTATTATACTATATAATCGGAACTGGTCACTTTCCTATTTATTTATTCTTGCTGTTTAATTATTTCAATCTACAATATTATAGTAATAAAAGCTGACCAGAGAATATTGTAGATATCGACTGTTTTGGTTTCACTATTACTAGTTCCTGAACATTCAGTGTTTTCACGATACTAAAAGTATCCGCACCTTTGCTTTACACTTTTGCATCATATGTTAAACTCAAGCTAGTGAATCTTGTTAGTTTTAATGAAAACAAACCCATTTTTTTTTTAAATAGCTTCATTTAAATTATATAAAAACATTTTCATTCTGTTAATTCAATCTCCAGATAAAACATTATTAGCATCAAATAAATCAAAGTACAACTTTGCCAAGTGCCATCTCGCAAAATAGTATTTAAATTGTCTCTATTTCATTCTATTGCGATGGTAAGGTTTTTCTTGGGAATGATTCCATAACTATTCTCGAACAGTAACTTCGGTTCTGATCATGAAGATAAAAAGGAAGGAAGATGCAATCACAAGGCCAAAAGTATCAATTTATAATCATTAGGCCTCATCTCCTTATAGAGCTTGATTTCTACTAAAAATTTCATGTTGATTTTGCTTTTCATTTTTGAGTTATGATTTTTTTTTAATTTCAATCCCCCTTTAACCCCCATTTTTAATCAGTTTATTTGTTTAAATCCAAGGGCTTTTTTTTTAGTCTAATGCTTGCTAAAAATTTTAAGTTAAAATCATTTTTCGTTTTTGAGTTAGGATTTTTTTTTATTTCAACTCCCCAATAATTTATTCACATTTTTTTTTCAGAATTAATTGGTTTTATCTCTCTTCATAGAGTTTTATTTTTATTAAACATTTCATGCTTTTCGTTTTTAATTTAGGATTTTTTTTTAATTTCAACCCATCTAAACCCCCTATTTTTATTCAGATTTTTTCAAAAAGAATAGGGAAAAAATTTAATAATGAACAAGTTACAAGAAACTAATATAAATTTATATCTAACTAACATCATTGGAAGTTACTTGAGAGATATAATACTGCAAGTGGATACCCAGGAGATAGAAATGGCCCAGGGAGTCCCACATGGTTTGATCCTTGGTCCGACACTGTGAAACTTCCTGTATGACGGGATCTTCAGACAAGACCTAGGTAGTGGATGTAACACAGTTGCCTATGACGATGACCTTGCCCTGATCGTAAAGGCTAACACAAAAGAGCACTTAATTTAAAACGCCAATTGGGCACTACTGGACGTACATCAATGGATGAAAACACATAAACTTGAAATAGCACCAGAAAAAACCGAAAGCGTTATTGTCATAGGTAAGATAGTTAGAGAAGGTATTCAATTTAAATTAGGGAACTCTGTTATTACTCCAGTTGAGGCAGTCAAATTGTTAAATATTCTAGATTATAGAAAAAATAGACTTTATACTTTGACAACTTTCTTTTAATTATCAATTAAACATGACAATACCATGACATTGAGAAATATAGTAAGCAACATATTTCTAACTATAATATTAACTTCAACTACTAAGATTTTCCGTAACATTCTACCCCCAGTGCTAACTTCCTCGTTAGCACGAATATTTAATCGATGCAGCTTTCTGACAGGCCTTTGATAAATTCCATGTGACGTTCGGACATCGGCTATGCGCACTACACTATCGCTGCCGTCATAAACCTTTTCGATAACACCCAATGGCCCACATACCTCTAGGTAAGTTGGTATCGTTAATAACTACTAATTCACCTGGATGAAGATTAGTTTGGTCGGCAATCCATTTAGAACGATTTATTAGTGTTGGAAGGTACTCTCGTAACCAACGTTTCCAATATAAGTCGGCTAGATATTGAGATATGCGCCACTGTTTTTTAAGAGAAATATCCTGTTCAGAGAAGACACTTGGTGCAATTACTTCTATAGATTGTCCAATCAATATATCACTAGGAGATATGCTAACTTTATCATGTGGGTCTATAGATACATTTCCAAGTGGTCTACTATTCAAAATGTATTCTACTTCGCAAAATAAAGTATGCAATACTTCATCAGATGGATGTTGATCCTTCGTTATAGCCATGAGAGCCCTTTTGAAGCTTCTAATCAAGCGTTCCCAACTTGCTCCCATATGTGGCGCTAATGGTGGATTAAATTTCCATGTAATTCCCCTATTGGTTACTTCGTCAATAATTTTGGTAACTTCAAGTTCATCTAGTGCTTGCAATAACTCTCTGTTGGCTCCATGAAAATTTGTGCCATTATCAGACCAGAATACCTTAACGTGCCCTCTTCTAGATATAAAAAGTCGTATTGCCATAATACAAGAATCGGATGTTAGGGACGAAGCTATCTCAATGTGTACGGCTCTGACAGTTAGGAATGTAAACAGAACTCCGTAGCATTTTTCAAGTCGCCTTCCGACTTTTACCACAAATAGGCCAAAGTAGTCTACACCTGTTGCAGAAAAGGGTTTCTCGTACTTAAGTAATCTCTCCTAAGGTAGTTGACACATTCTTGGTTGAACCTGTTGTGCTCCTCGGCGCCTACAGAAAATGCACTGTCTTATTATTTTCTTTACCATTGTTCTCACTTTCGGTATCCAAAAGTTTCTTCTTAATTCGTTTATTACCGTTTCCGTTCCCTGATGTGCCATTTTCTTGTGGTAATGTATTATCATCTTTTTTGTATACTCATGATCTCCATCAAGAACAACAGGTTCCTTCTATTTTCCGTAACACAAATATTTGGGAGTATGGATTGATGATAAAGTGATGGCTCTATCAAGAATCTTGACTAACATGGGAGGACCAAGCAGTACCAAAAGGCAATTAATGTATGGGGTGGTGCAATCAACAGTTGTGTATGCGGCACTAATATGGGCTATAGCAGTAAAGAAAAACAAACATAAGAATCTGGTGTTAAGAGCACAACGAAAAATGTAACTCAGAGTAGCCTCCGCGTACAGAACGGTATTAGAAGAAGCACTGCATGCAATCACTGTGTGTATCCGACTTAGATCAATAGATATCTGGCAGAATAGGTGGAGCAGCAATACTGACAAGCTGTTTGGACGAGGTGGTTTATTCCAAATATCCCAAATTAGATGCAAGTTCAAGGAGACAAATTACTATCTGAGCCAATTTTTTCACGGAACATGGCTTTTTTAGGGTTTATACCTACAGAATTGGTAAGACACCTGACAGTAATTGTATATACTGTAACGAGGAGGATACGGTGAAGCACACATTTGTCAAAAGCAAGATATATACAAATAATAGAATTATCACTAGAAGCTGAAATAACCCCGGAAAATATTATATCCAAACTTATGGCCGACAAAACGAAATGTGTCGAAGGAACAAAAGAAATAATAGAAATTATGAAGTATAAAGAGAAAGAGAAAAGATACCAGCAAGGAAGATAATGTAAAGACTGACAGAGATGAATGAAGCAATGCTCGTAAAAGTTGTACCGGCATCTCTGTGACAAGAGGTGGTTTTAGCAGGTAGGCTATCGATTATCGGTAGAATCCTGCTCGTCTGGGTTCAAGTCCCAGATAGTCTTTGGAAGATTTCCACCTCTTAAAAAAAGGCTTTGTCCCCTAACAGAGCTGGTTTTTGACTTCGTGCAAACAAAAGCCGTGATATCGAACAAAGCAAACCCATAATAGTCTTCACAAACTACTGTGTGAAGAGTAGAATATTAATATAATCAAGGCTAAAAGAATGACATAATAGCCTAAAAAATAGGTACACTAAAAGAATAATAAAGTTAAAGTTTTGAAAATTATTTATTAGGTATATCAGTACTACGGAGATAAACTGCGCTATGTAATTCTAGTCAACTTTTTTAGTAGAGCAGACTGAATGTTGGATGTATACTTTTCGTGTTCCATATTGATTCCATACTTCGACAAGAAATGCAGTTAACCCCAATTATTGTTAGAATATGTATTGTTTATTAACAATCTAACTATTAAAACTTTGAGTCAAGTTACATGTAGTTTTACTTGACAGATAAATAAACAATAGCCCTATAGTTTGATCAGCAAGTTGTTACTTTCAAGTTTACACAGAAGTGAAAAGACTGGCCCTTAGATTTTTTGTAACTTCGTTTGTCTTTGTTGGAAACAAAAAAATTGCTCCATGCATAGTTGGGTATAAAACACATGACTATTTTGTAGACCCTGGGACAAAAAACAAAATAGTTACAGCCGTAATTTATAAATAAACAAACATAACCTCAAAAATAATAGTAATTTTTTTTACTTGAGACGTTTTTCGGTAAAAATCGTTGAATTGACACACATACTTCCGTTTTATTAAAGTTGCAGTTTTATTTTAACTAAATTTTTATTAAATACAATACACAATGTTTGACAGCTTGATTGAAAGAAAAGTTGGAAACGTTGAGAAGATAAAATATGAATTAGGTAGAGACGACATAAACACTATTTTGTTATATGACAAGTGGAGGCACTTTAAGTTATATTTTGATTCATTTTAAGTTAATAATCTATATTTGTAGATTTACAGTATAAAAACGTTTTTATATTATCTAAATCACGCTATTTTAAAAAATGGCATTTAATATCACCAAAACTGGCTAGTTCGAGTTTGACATATGTCGTAAAAGGGTAATGCAAAGATGCAGACAATTTTAGTACTGTCATTGCATGTCTATATATATATGAGTTGAATGATTCGTATGCCCCGCCCTACTTTGTGACGTCACTGTATGCGCTGTGCCAAATAAGGTCATTTTAATGATTTTTAAGTAGGTTATTGTTCGTTTTACGGATCTGTTAACGAGTTGACATCCCTTTTCAGCTAAAGAATTAAGCAAAAACATCTTGCTCCCTCGGGCTCACTCAGAAAAGTGAGCCAAAGAGACCCGATTAGCCAAAGCGCAGTGGCGTACCAAAAGTAGAGATTAGCACGTATCAATACAATAAAATTATTAGAATTGAACTTATATTTTTATGTTATAAACTACCAATGGTAGATTAAACAAGAATTATTTATTTAAAATCAACTTAGTGGTCTTCAACCACAGTTAACATATGTCTGTTTCCCAGTAATTATTCACCTTATTTATTATTTTTTTTTTTTTATTGCAGTACATTACAGATATATTCCAATTGGTACATGGCAAGAACAAAAGACAGTATAGACAAAGATATAAAAAGACATATTGGATCAAAAGATTAAAACTAGATTTAAAAACATACAAACACAATGAGAAACACAATTGCATTAAAGGACTAAAAATAGATTTATAAATATAAATACAATAAAACACAAATACAAGTCTTTCCAAGACGAAAAAACAATGAAATTCAGGAAGTCTTTTGTTCATAAGTTTTACCTAACACGAACATAAAAAACAAGGATACAATTCTTCACGTCCAATGTTCTTTCAGGACGACTTTAAAATGACAGACACAGAGGACCACGGCATAGGAATAAGAAACAAAAAAGAAGGGAAAGCATAAAAATTGTTTAAATAATTTAAATTGTAAACGTAAAAGAAATTTTACACTTTGTCCTGTACTGAAGACCTCCTAATTAATTATTTATTTCTTGTTCTTAGCTAGTTTTTGTAATGATAACGAGAGAGCATTGGAAGATAAGTATAATACTTCCAATGCTCTCTCTATTTATCATAAATGCAGCAAATTACTCACTTGCTTAGCTAGGGGCAAATGTACATGTTTCACTAACATTGAGATCAAACGAAGATGAATCCGAGGGTATAACACAAAGTATTAAAAATATATAAATTTTTACACAAAAACTCAGAAGACGTCAATAACGTGAAAATTGTTTACTTCTTTTTTCAAAAATAAATGAATGTATGTATAGCCTACCTTCAAACGCATTTGACAGATTCAATCTAATCGTCCTGGACTTCAAGAACTCATCGATTTTGTCCATCAACACATCGCTCAGCTTTAAATTCCGCTCAGTTTCCTCCTCGGGTAAATCTTCGTCTTCAGTTTTGTTGAAATTGTAGTCAGGATTCTTCTGGATTTCCAGAAATCCCAAAAATATCGTCCTGTCATCCAAAATAGTCTCGTTCAAAGCTTCGAGAGTTCGTTCTTTCAAACACACACCGGGGTATTTTTTGTAGAAACACTCTTTATAAAAGTACAAGCCCTTCCAGAAATCGGTTACATTCTGCGTTTTTCCGAATTTTTGAAGCGATAGAATCAACACTAAACTTAAAATTCTAAAATGCATCTTAGCGCATCTACAAACGGACTAAAAAAAAAATAATTTCCAAATGTACTTTATACTTTTGCTAAACAGCAGAGCGTGTCTTTTTAACTGCCAGTATTACGCTCACGAATTTTTAAACAATAACTTTAATCGCTGAAAACTATAATTTCGCCCTCAAGTTATTTTGTATGTCTATGTAATAATATGTGTTTTTTAAAGGTTAATGGATTATTTCATGGTCTAAATAGAGATGATTACGTTTTAGAACCAGTGCAGCATTTAGTTGAGATCGGATCGAGATAACTGTTTGGTGCATCTAATGCAAGACGCATTAACCTATTTGTCTAAGAATAGCGCGATTGCTTTATAATTAGATTAATGAGTTTACGCAAATTATGGGAATTTCGATATACAAGGAGAGGTTGATGTTTAGAAATTCTTAAATCAGATCCTGAAAAATTATGTTGCATATATGATAAATTTTTAATGATAATAAAATTAGGAATCCAAATAGCTTTAATTCAAACCATAGTTGAACAGACACAATCAAATTAAAGCCCTATTGCAATGAAAATCTGTGTTTATTTATTCGTTGTTTTATATTAATACTGTCACTAAAACTATGTTCAGTGAAGTCTAATTTCACAAGGTATTTGCATTACAATTTATTAAAAAGAAATTTCTAAATCCCTACACTCAAAAATTCAAAAAAAAAACTACTTCTGATTCTTCGATTTGTGCCCAAGTATAACTCAGGGTTCTTGGACTTCAGAAATCTAAATTAATAAAACCGGCTGCTCCTTTGGAACAACTTAAAAGGACCTTCACCATCTACATCAAGAAAAATATATCTTTTAACTATCATCGATGAGTATTTCTAGTTTTTATTTGCCTCTCTGTGTTCCAACATAACTTCTAATAGTGTTATAAAATGTAATTCCAAGATTTTTTCACATTTTTCATGGGGGAGTAAAAAAAGGAGTCGCTACTTGTGTAGTGAAGTGGTATTACTTGCACTATTTTGTTATCAACCTTATGTCAATTGTAAATTTAAACTTATAACTTTTGTGGTATGTGCTTTATTTTTTGGTATTTGTTGCGTTTGTTTCGTTTTTATATAGTATTAGTTAAAAGACTTTGAGGAAATAATGTTATATTGTACTTTACGAAATTGTACCAGCCTAGATCGTGTGTCAAATAATTATAGTGAATAACCATGAAGGTATAGGGATAACATATCATAAGTTGGTGAACAAAGACGTATTGAAACGAAAAAAAAAAAAATGTTGAACTAAACATTATCATTTAAAAATTTCCAAAGACTTCAGAAAAAACTAACTATATAGATACCGTTTTTTACATAGAGATTATTTGTAACCTGTGTCTTGTGTTGAAGACATTTCGAGGAAACACATTTAGATCGATCTTCATTGTGTAGAGTCTGTTTAGAAAACGATGTTATCACAATAATTTACGTGTTTATAAAGTTAAATTACACGTTAAAAAAATTGTAGATCAAATTTCTACAATTGTAGATTTTTTCTCTACAATAAATAGTACATATAGGGACAGGGACAATTTGTACTAAAAATTTATTATCTACAATATTTAGTAAAAATATCCAAATGCATCATAAGAATTGTTCTACAAATTGTTATAATTTTTGCTATTCATTGTATGAATTTATATTAAAAATGTATTGCGTTTTATGAAAATAAATACGAAAATTTTACACAATAAATAGTAAAAATTCATACAAATTGTAGTAATTTTTAATAAAATTTGTAGTAGTATTCCATAATTATTATAATTTTAACATAGAAAAAAATGTTCCTTAATAAAATATTCAATTTATTGTTATAATATAAAAGATACAAATTCTTAATTAAATTATGTAATAAATAACAGTTATAATAGTGCCCTCAGTCTCAGTTGGCTTTTCTGCACCTGAAAAATATGAAATAAAAATTAATACCAATTGAACTGTTCATACCCTTAAAACGGGGATATTTATCACCTTTACACTGATTTGGATATTAAATGACTAAGTCAGATAACTAACAAAAATGAGAAAGTAGGTATGTCACAATTAAGAAAAAAAACATTATTGAACTTGGCACAAAATTCGATCGTTGGGCACAACATTCGAACGTTGGCCACAACTATTTTTTTAAAATAATCTACTAAGGTTATTTAAATTAGTTATCTAAAGGTAAATTATTCAGAAACAATAATAAATGTACTTACCACCAATAGAATTTATTATTAAAATTTTCTCAAACGCATCGGTGCTTATAATATAAGAATGTGTTATAGGTACTCGTATATGTACCATGCTTTGTTATGTGAACATGGCGAACGGCTACTGCTGTCTGGCCGTTTATGATCGACGTCAGAAAACGTTGGCCAATAGCAGAATTCTGTTTTGTTCACATGACTTAGAATTTCTACAATATTATAGAATATTTTTGAACAAAATTGAATTTTTTTCATAAGAAGGGATGTAAAGTATTACTATTTTTTTTAGAGAAAATTATTAATATTTGTACAAATTTTTACAGAAGTTAGTAGTAGTAATTACGATAATTGTAATAAATTTCTACTTCTACAAACAATAGTAAAATATACTAAACATTGTGGACTTCTTTCCTATTGTTGTAGCATTTTATTCGACAATTCAATTGCTACAATAATTAATAGTTTTTAACTATAAATTGTAGTAAAATTTTCTACAAATTGTTAAGTATTTTTCTACAAGTCTACTACTACAACATTGTAGTAAAATTTTCTAGTCACATTTTTTTCCGTGTAACATATTTATTTATAATTTTAAATAAGGACGGTCCCATTTTAAAAAAGTTATCTTATCAAGTAATAAATTGTAAACACTTAGGCCTTACATTTTAATACAATAAATTTGTTGCAAGATGAGTCTACATGGATACTATCCTCCTATCAATATGTTGTTAATATAATATTTTTGTTTTATTTAACTATACAGGGTGTTTGTTAAATATTGTTGTATTGTTGCTTGGTTCGGATAGAAAAATTTCGCGAATCCTACGAAATTGAATCCAGAAGAGTAGCCAATTTCGAACATTGTAAAATTTTAAAATTTACCTTTTAAAAACGTTAATTAATTGTTTTAGTTTTTTTTCTATATATTTCTGATACGGCTTTAGCGATTAATATGCAATTTTAGTTTTAAAATTTGCCCAGAAAAGCACATGTTTTAGTAATTAAAAGATGTAAATGAGTTTAAGATATTCGCGTGTACGAACAAGTGCTTTAAAAATGTTTAACAAAAAATATGTATCTCACTGACTTTTTATTTTTTAAAAGCACAATTAGTTAGATGGTGACACACCGAAAACTTCCCACCCTGTATATCTTTCTGCCAATAAATAATGTGAATTTTATTTTAAAGGGGAACACCCAGAATAAATATTTTTAACACTTGTGGCTCAATCTCATAGGATAGGAGGATTAAATACTACCCTTAAAATCCTAAATAGGAAAGTGGGCCAAGTGACACATTATTTTAAAGGGCTTCTATTTCTCTTTCCAATGGTACCCTAATTTAATTATCTTCTGACCACCAGGTTCCCAAAAATTGAGTTTTAAAGTTACAGAAGTTAAAACGTTCCTGCTCTGAAATTCTCAGTTTTCATCTTAATATTTAAACAATAATTACAATATTGCATATGCTTTTAGCAGAAATGGTGGGTCAAATTTCGTTTAGCCAAAATATTGTTGCCATGGCAACTGTTACCAAAGTAACCAGTAAACAAAAACCCAAATCTCGTGGTGAGAAAATGCATAGTTGCCAAGTTATAGATCAGTTAATGTTCACTTTAGTTAGGACGAAATCTGTTATGGTGAAACTGTTTCCATGGGAATGCTTGACATAGTAACGACTAAACAAAAAACCAAATCCATAGGTGAGAAAATGGGTAGTTGCCAAGTTACAGATGATTTAATTTATCTGTAATCAGTTACGGACAAACTGTTGCCATAGAGACACTTGTCATGGTAACGACTAAACAAAAACCCAAATCCGTGGTAAGGAAATGCATAGTTGGCAAGCTACATATCATTTAAATTTCACTTGAGTTTAGCTGAAATCGGTTACGGACAAAGGAACACTTGTCGTGATGTCGACTAAACAAAAACCTACATCCGGTGGAATATTTATTTTAACTCTTAACACAACATCCTAATCTAAACTAAAGTGAAAATAAAACCATTTGTGACTTTTTCCACATATATCATAAGATCACGCCTACGCTTGTTCCACCCTCCTACTAATCACTACTTGGCCACTACGCATTTTGGCTAAACTAAAGTGAAAATTAAATGATCTATAACTTGGCAACTACGCATTTCCTCATCACGAGATTTGGGTTTTTGTTTAGTAGGTAACATGATAAGCGTGCCCCTGGCAACATTTTTTGCATAACTGATTTCAGCTAAATGAAATTAAACAAAAACCGTAAATATCTACAACTTGACAACGACGCATTTCCTCACCATGAGATGAGGGTTTTTGATTACTTATAGCCATCACAATTGTTATCATGATAACAGTTTTTGCATAACAGATTTCGGCTAAATGAAAGTTGAGCCGAAATGGTTAGAAAATTAGGTGGCACCAAACTGTTACATTTAAAAGTAATCTAATAATAAAATTTCGATGACAATTAAACTGCATTTATCCAAACGGTGCTTAGGTTTGGCCACAAGACTTACATCTATTAATCTATAACAGCAAAAATCAACAAATTATTAAAGATATTACAGAAAATACTACCAAAAATCCCTAATATCTCTGAATCTCCTAGTTGCGCCAAGATTTCTGATATTTGCGAAACTCCCAATGCTTCCGATACTTCTACTATTTTAGAGATTCGTATTTCTAATTACCCGGTCACCCTCGTACATGAAGACAATCAAATCGATCATGTTCAGTGGCCTCCCATAATTCAACAAAATTAACATCTAATGTAAACAAGACCTCCTAAATGTTTAAATTACTATGTTTCAAAATATTTCTGGTGAAAATATAATGAAAAACTGTGTTTGTGTTTTTATATTAGTTTTTATATCCTCTGTATGGTTTATTTATTTGTTGTTATTCGCTCAGTGCGAAGTCATGGTAGGGGAATCACAAGGGATACTAGCACTAACTGCGAATAATTCGTGCATTTTAGGGCGATATTTTGAAATTTTGGCATATCAACGTATATACATTTTACTGTTTTTCAAAAAAATAGGTAAAAACAATAC